GAGAATGTGGGGGGGCTGCATACAGTGCACATTTGATTGCAGGGGACATCAAGGTATTGTTATTCTGTTTTGTATGCGCATATCGAATCTGCAGGCCACGGATATTTCTATCCATCCGAAGGTTGATACCCTGGAGGAGTTTTTTGAGGTGCCCAGAACTGCAAAGTGACTGTGCAGCGTGCAGTTCTGTTTCTTTTGGAGCGTTTATGTGTCTCCTCAGTCTACTGAGAAAAGAAGAACCTTGGCTAAGTTAGTGCGGGCAGTCGTCAAGGAGATCGTGACTGAAGGCGAAGAGGGGGAAGCGGGAGCAGGCGACGGCAGTAAAGAGCTCGCGCAGGGCGAAGGAGAAGAATCAGAAGTAGGCGATGACAACTTTATTTAGGGCTGGTGTTCGCTCCTATCAACTGTGCACGTGTCCCCGTAGGACACGTGCTGACCTCGTGTTCGTAACCTCAAATCTAGCGGCGTGCTAGCTGCTGCACGGCCTCCTTGTATGACGTTGCAGGCGGAGNATGTGCCCTTGCTGCTTTGCTTTATTTGCACGCGGTTGTGCTGCTACGCTGCGTTTTCAGAGAGACACCGCCAGTGTAATGGAAGCCAGAGCAAGCCTCCACTTCCCTGCCTGCTGGAGAGCGTGCCTGCTTCTGATTCAAGTTGTTTACAGAGTTGCTGCACTTTTTTGGACGAGTGAAAGGCAGTTGAATCAGCGCTGCTAGCCCGTGCTTGTCTAGTTCAACATCACATTATCGGGCCAGCGAATGCTCTCCAGCTGCATCGGGTGCTCCGATGGGGCTGGAGAACTTTCGCTAGCCCCGAGAATGTGTTTTGTGTCTGTTGGGTGCTCTTAACAATTGATCATATCTTGTGAAGATCTGCCCGGCCGCAGGAAAAAATTGTAAAGGCGCTGATGCTTGGTGCTGAGATGGGCGAATTTACGAGACCAGGGGTGAGGATGCTGGCAGAGAACACACTACTATAGCTTTATTAGCCAGCCTGCTTGAGTTGCGTAACCACATAACGCACAGATGGTGGCGTTTGTTGTCATTTGTCACTTCTTACGTGCAGGCGACGCAGCAGCGGATCGACTATGTGAAACCCTGGGGAGGTTCGAAAAAGGTAAGAGGAGAACGGCAGCAGCTGTAACGCCTCTGCTATGAACCAGCTTCGTGTCTGCCTTATCTTCTGGATCAGCAAAGCTGTAGTGGCTCAAACCAAACGTTAATTTTATGGCAGCTCCACGGGTTGTGCTGTGCTTGTGATAGATTTATACTATGCATTGGACAATGTGAGACGATGTTAAGGACTGATATATCACAATACCTTAGTAGTGCCAGTCTGAAAGAAACAATACAGGTTCAGGATCATTGTCTGCAGGGTATTCTGGTGCATCTAGCTTGTAGATCAACTTACAGCCGCGTAAACAGACATATCATAGACAGCCATGCATTGAATAGTGTTTGCCGGTTGGCGGTGATCGTAAATGTGTCGAGGCGAATTTCTTTCACACCAACCCGGTGTGAGGGAAATTCATTATACTGGTGTCTGGAAGTTCCTCTTAGTGACTCCTGTCCTGCGGTCTTAGGGAGGCCTAAAAAAGAGGGACTGGACTAAGCTGAGGCGTATCATTGGACCCTTCTTAGAGAAGGAAGTTGAAGATATTGTTCTTCAGGTTTGCACTTATGGCTCTATTAACACGAAGGATAATAACGATGCCAACGATTTTGCCTAGATCAAGCCGGGGCTCAAGGGACATGCACCTCAATGTAGTTTTTGCAGTCATTGCTGCTACCTAGATCACTATTAGCAGAACCTGTCTAGGAAACGTCTATACTATCAACCTTCATAGTAGCTCTTAAAGCTCGATTCCGATTCCGTTTCCGTCTGGCGCTTGCGAATCTTGCAATATACTGTGCGTGTGTTTGTGATCTTCAGTATCTTGACATAGTAATCCATNGGCGCTTGCGAATCTTGCAATATACTGTGCGTGTGTTTGTGATCTTCAGTATCTTGACATAGTAATCCATTTCCCTGCGTTCCCCGTCTGTAGCCGACGTTTCCCGCTGCTCCTCACGAGACACTGAAATTAGTAGTGCATGCTAAAAACCGTCAAAAGAACTTTTTTTTAGGGTGCTGTACGTGTTTCCCCATTGTTCTTGCGGATGCCATCGGACAGGACGATGACGCTGCCTCCCCCTCCCAAGAAGAGGCAAGTCTCTGTTCTGCATTCCTTGTTGGAATGCAGAACACAAAATGCCCAGTGAAGTGTTTATCGTCCGATGTGTACGATCGACACCCCAATATCGTGCTAGATCTTTTTCCCGTACGTTATTGCGCTTGCGGATGTGTGCTTTCATATTTCGTGTGCTGTTGTGTTTGCCAATGCTACTAAACAGAAGAAAGGGACTTCCGGCAAAAAGTCGACAACGAAAAAGGTAGGTTTCAAGATACTGTTCGTGCGTCCTTCTTGGAATCTTT